ATCGGTATGGGGTGGGGAGGGGGGGGGGGGGGGGGGGAGTCGGGGTTGGAGCCGGGAAATGGTTGGTGGTGATGGTGGGTGGGGGTGCAGGTTATAATTATTGTGTGAAATACGGGAAGAGGTCTGTGGTATTCCTTAAAAATATCAGATTTATGGTGTCGTATCAACAGACTTTTGTGCTTGTCAATTTACCACAATTTTAATAAGTATTCCATGCAGACACATCCAAAGAGTATATTGTGGATGAAGAAGTATACAATGGTTGAGAGGGGGATGGAGGGATAACTAGCAAACGGAGAACAAGAGGAAAGAGGAAAGAGGCAATGAGAGAGAGAGAGAGAGAGAGAGAGAGAGAGAGGCCCGGGGGTAGAAGAGAGCAAGGAAAAGCGGGCAGAGGGAAAGAGAAAGAGAAGAAAGTAAAAGATAAGACAGCGAAGGAGGCACATAGTCGTTGCATAACAGTAAACACCACTTATCAAATTAAACAGACCCTACTGTCACCACCACCACCATACCTCCACGCCAACTGGGGTCTACAAACAAAGACTATCCACTCCAAAGACCACCACAACCCCTCCCCCCCCCCCGATCATCACCATACAGCGTACATGGTTACCATGGTATTAGATGAGAGACGGACTCGGTTGATCGGATGTCCCGTTCGTAGATACCCACCTGTCACCCCCTTCATCGACTGTCCGAAGTCTTTGTCTCACCCTCCGACCTTTGTCAACAAACCTAAGAATTGAACAACGAAAGACAACGTCTATAACTTGCATCATCTGGACTATCCAACATTTTATAGCGCTTAGAGACTTCGGTAGTAAGCGCTTTATATAAGCAACGTTTTTATTATTATTATTATTACTACTATTTTTTTTAAAGAAGAGAAAGGAGATTTAAAATGCCATAAATCTATTTCTACGTCTCGACGTGCTTGTACAATAGATACTTATGTTACACTTTTAAAAGTTTTATTTCAATGTTTGATTGTTTCCCCCTTAATTTTATATAGTAAAGTATCTTTTTGTAAATATATTTGGGTCAATCTTGTCAATTTTTGTTTGTCTTCAATTTTCAGCAAAGTATCATATATTTTAGGCTTTGACAACTCCTGATGCTATTTGAAATTCTAAATTTTGCTAAACACACACATAATACGTACACTCCACATTTCCACCCAGATCTCCTTGTCTGGCGGTGTCGCTCTATATCCTAAATATCTCTTCCTCTCTCCTGCTCTCTCCCCCTTTCTCTTGAATATTGTTTTCCTTGAATCTATTTATCTAAGTGACGGTATCCATTCTTTCAGCTTTCAAATCACACACGATAATAAATGGCGCGAGGTGGAAGAAAAAAAGAAGCAGAATTTTTGACAAAAGTACCCTAATCATTTTGCACTTTGGCTTGTCAGTCCATGAAGTGATGTTACGTAATCCATCACTATGGTAGTAACAAGCGAACAAATTTACACGGAGGAGGGAGACAACAACACAAAAACATCCCAATGTTGACGGCAATTGCTCAGACAATACAACCACCGGGCCGTGTTATTATGTCCCATAAAAGAGATAGATATTACCCGGAGCGTTGCTAATCTAAAACGTCGAGGCTTTAAAATGGCACGCGAATGACAAGTAGTCGTGAACAAGAGACATTTTCTATTGAGGCTCAATGCTTGGTAGCCTACATAGGATGAATGTAGTTCGACTTTTCCCCATTGATGTAAAATGGCATAACATCGCTATTTTACTAATAACTAGATTCTGTAAGAGAGGAATGAATTTGACATGTTCTTATTATCCTCAGATTGAGTTCCACAACTCCCCATCTCTATACCAGTGTAAGTGAAATCGTTTGACAATGGATTTTTTTTTACGCTTTGTGAGAACTATCTTTATAGCAATGAAGTAGTGTAAGGTAACTGAAACATTCCTTTCTAATTAAAAAACAAGTAATTAAAGATAATCAGAATTCGAATTATTGCGGCAATTTATACAAGAAACAAAACAGCACTGCATTGGTGTTGATGTAGGCTTCTGTGAAATTTAAGGGTCTGTCCAATAAGACTATGCTCATGTACTATTGTCTTGGAAGCCTTTGATGAGCCAATCAAATTGAGAGAACAATAGAGCGGCAGGTGTCCGCGCGTGCCACAATAAAAGATTCAAAACAAACGTAGGATGGAAAGCCAAGAAACAACAAAAAAGGAGAAAATCCAAGCTAGGGGTAAAAACGAACAGGAAGAAGAAGAAGAAGAAGAAGAACTAAAAGAGGAAGAGAAGAAAGATGAGGAAAAAGAAGAAGAAGAAAAAGAAAAAGAGGAGGAGGAGGACGAGGAATAGGAATAATTTGTTTATGTTAACAGAATAATAAACTTTAGTTTCTATAATTATGTTCTTTTTAATTTTCATTTTTGCTACTCTATTCATTGTGAAGATTTTTTCTTCTTCTCTTTTCTACTTCTTCCTGATTTGCATTTCGGTGATGTCAAAGTGGTATGGATTTAGCGAAGACGATTAAAACGTATAAGACTCCACTTCAGAAACACGCCTTTTGACGCAGAATTAAAGCTTGTCATACTCATTAATCTTACCCAATTCCACCCTAGGGACCCATTCAAACTTAATCCCCAGCAATCTCCAGCAATCCCCAGCTTCTTTGATTTGAAAGAAGGATCACCAGTGCATCTTTAATGAATAAAGAAAGAAAAAGCGGCGTTACAAGAACTCGGTAAGCAATTTTGTTCTTGTCTTGCACAAAGATTTGCGTTTTGTTTGTCCAAATTCCGCGCGTCGCCGGACGCGACCGACACAATCCGTTATTTCCCGTGTTTAAAATTTCATGTGACGGTTAAGTGGGCGCACGCGCGTGTGTACACCGTCTTACTATGGCTTTAAGCCCCACACAAGGGGTTGTTAATTTTAATCCAATCTATGTTTCAAACACTGTCCTTGTTTGTCGTGTGTTTTAAGAAAATGAAACCGTGCATGTGAAAGAGAGGGTTGTCTTTGAAAAAAATGGGTTTGTAAATGAATCTTACATCTTAGCCTATAAAGGAGGATGAAAGTCCGCATAGTCATTGCTGCTAGCATGATTGTAGCCCATTTAGGGGCTATATCGCTGTGTTGATGTTGTAATTGAGAATATGCAGATTTCATGCGTCTTGTGTTGTAAAAGATATATCTGGATAAAGCGTACATAATCAAGGCGTATGAAAACTATTTGTAAAAGCAACGTACATGTATTCGCGATATCCCCCTCTCCCCCCCCCCCCCCCCAAAAAAAAAAAAATTAAAAAAAATTAAAAAATAAAACAAATACAGAAGAAGATACATTTACATTAAGTGGGAAGAATAAATAGGTCATTGTATTTTTCTAAACTTTCTAATACACAAGAGCCATTTACGTATTTTGATGATATTTATACTCGTGAAACTGAATTAACGTCACTCGTTATTGAACTTAAAGAAATATGTCCTAGTTTTGAAATCGATGTTTATGTATAATTAAACATCATTTGAAGCCTTTTCAAAGAGGGATCTAGACGACCTTTTCAACATCTCATCGTCACCATGACAACATTATCGCTGACACCAACATGATGTAGCATATTATTATGTGGTCCAGTCTCCTCGGCTTTGTTTTATCATGGACCTAGCTTCAACCCAGCCGTGTGTTTCTCACTTTTTAGCTTTTGTTTCCTCCAGTATTCATCGCTAACGCGTTTTTTTCCACCCGACTGGGTTTCAACGTTTGGCCCTGTTTTTCTCTCCTCCATTTTTTCTCTCTCTCTCTCTGTATTGTTTACCACCTTTTTCAGAAAGTTGAGTCAGGCGTAAAAGCGCACGCGCCGCCGCTCGAGAGAAAAAAGCCAAAGAAATTGTAAAAAAAAAGAAAGACTCATTCGACCAATAATACTTGAATATGAACGGAAGCAATAGCAACATGAATTTTCCCCTTTTTCCAATGGTATTGGTCTCTCTAAAACTACTTTACAAAGAAAGCTAACTATTGTCCTTTTTGTGTATACGATTGCTTCAGCGAAAACAAAATTCAGGGCGTTTCACGGGTTAGATGCTGGTGAAAAGTGTTTTTTATTGGAGCATATTGAAACTTTTATTGTAATCATGTCATATTTGCAAACGAAAAGTGTGAAACAAAAGACATAACGGTTCATTATATTATACCATCCATACTTTTAAATTTACTGAGAAATGTTTCAAGATTTAACAAGTTTGTCTCCTTTTCTGAAGTGATTAGATTGCAAGGAATGGTTTACATGTTATCCCTTTATTACAAAAAAAATCTATATATTAACCAGTTATACACTGTGTAATGGTGATTGTAGTGGTGGTTGAGATGATGGGAGTGGGAATGGTGGTGGTTATTGGGATGGTGCCGGTGGTGGGGAAATTGGTGGGGATAGTGGTGGTATTGGTGCTTGAGCTGCTGGTGGTGGTGATGGGTATAGTGGTGATGTTTATGATAGTTGTGGTGGGAATGGTGGTGGTGGTTGAGGTGGTGGTGGCGGTGGTTTAGTATAATTGTATTGGTGATGGCCTTAATGGTGGTGGTGGATATAATGGCGGAAAATATGGATGATGATGGTTAATAAAATGTTCTGAAATCTTTAAGGGAAACTAAATTGAGACAGAGGTGTGACCAACAAAAATAGAAAAGACACGAAGAAAGCGATCTTTACTTTGATTTAATTAATACAAACTCGATGGCGTAAAACAATTTTTTTTTTTTTAAAGAAAATGAATTTAGAAAGGAGAGAGATTTGGAAAGGAAGAGGGAAAGAGACAGTGGTACATGAGTACACTAAGGATGAGTGAGAGAGGGAGAGAGAGAAGTGGTTGGGGGGGGGGGTAGAGAGAGAGAATTCCCTCTAATACATCAGTCCTCGAAGCTCACCGCCAATATAGCTGTCTCGTCCAATATTACACCGAGCACAGCCAATAGGAAACGTCCGCCTCCCAGCGAACTCGCTCGCATGTTCTCAAGCCGGTGCCGCGGCTGGACTTCCCCTACCCATCTCCCTCTTATTTCCCTTCTCTGTCATTTTCCGAGGGACTCCGTCTCGCGATAACCCCGAGAGCGACACGAATAGATCGCAGCCTTCTCCTCGCTTCATTCATCCGATCGCGCGCTTGGAAAGAGGAGCTCATCCAAACATCCTCGCATCGCTCTCGCATCAGCGACACAGCCAGGCAAACGGGGTTCGGTGCAATACTCCATGACCACCTTCATTCTAATATCCTCAACTTCACCATCAGCATCACCACCGCTGTCCTCTTAGTACACCCGTGATCCTCGGTTTTCTTTTTAATTACTTTCCACGAATCATTAATAACCCATACCGTACTAGATGATCTACACGCCGCCACAGGATTGGTGTTAGTGGTATACAACCCATCGCGGAGCATCAGAATGCTAAATTAGTACCATACTATGTACGTCTTGTAGTTAATTGCCATTCGGAATATTCTCATCGTGTCCATATTACTGTGAACGAAACACCTTCAACTTTTCCTGGAACTTTTACTTTCTGCGAAGGATTGTGGACTATTAATTAAATCGGATCTTGTTCAGGTAAGCACTTATTTGCCCGCCGGTTTTTTTTCACCCGTTGTAATACTCTTGAATTATATTTTTGTTTTAAACCTGGTAAAGGATAAATAATATATTTTACTCCGGCCTATTTTGGTGGCATTCATATCATGTAACTCTGTCTTCTTTATTTTGTCTTCCAATTTCAAAATGCGAAATTCTTCTTTTAAATGTAATCAGTTTGACAACTGATTTAATGTTCTGATTTAATTCACGGTTTTTCGATTTAACATTTAATTCTGTGTTTTCCTTTAGCGATGTATCCAACGTAAGTTTATTCTTATGAATTTACCTTACGTGCTCAAAATTAATCATTAAATGTCTGTTAATAATTTCTAATTATGAAATTAATAAGCGGAGATTAAAAATGTGCTTTACGCTATCCCGGCTATCACAAATGCATTGGATTCCATTCATGAGTGTATGATACATGTTGATGTTAATGTCAGGTTATCAAAGAATTGATTAATAAAGGGAGAACAAAAAATCATTTTGAGTAGTAGTAATTCATTTAATTCAAACCAATAGAAACCAGTCAGTAGGTTATACTTCGAAATCAAATCCTTTTCATAACATGTTCATATTTCACACACAAAAATTAATAAATCCACCGTCTACGTCATTCAAACTACTACTTGACGCGTTCTCAGTTAATTGTTGATTTATAGCATTCGAGGTCTCCCCAAATTTTGACGTCACAATTGTGTAATTAAAAACGTGAATCGTTTTTAATAACCACTAACGACCCATGCAATCAAAACAGGTGCCTGGGTACTCACTGTACTTCCACTTCTGATCTTGCCACAGTCAATAAAAAGACAATTCGAATTGTTTTAGCATTGTCAATTATCTTGTCATCATCATATTTCTTTTTCTTTATTCTCACTCCTCTTTGTACAAGATCATCATCATGTATGATGATGTTTTAATCGCAACTACTTAAAAATGGTTTTTCAGTTTGAACAAGCGCTTAACCAGACGTAGAACGCATTGTGTTAATATAGCATCGGTAATTGTCTGCCAAACATTATCAATCAAACGCAATGAAACGTTATGCATAACAAATTGGTTTTAAATATTACGCGCGCTTTTTCAAAACGCTACCACCCTTTGGCATTTGGAATCGCATAAGAACCAGTGAAAAGACCAAATTAAATTACCCTTCAAAATGCTACAAAAATGTATTAATCTGTTTATTTACAAACCAAAATCATCCAACAAGAAAACAATGGCTCAATCGAAGAAAAAAAACATTGGATATAATCAGAGCGTGACTTACCGATGAATAGATTCGTCGCCAGAGATATAATATTCATGGACAGAATAATGTGGACTGTATATTCCTTTGTATCATGTATCTATTTTAACCATATCGAATTATGATTTTCATTGCCAAAAACATATTCGCTGATCATGGAGGTTGAAGCATTTTGTGTTTCAATCTGTTAAAACTATTTGACAAAGAAAAAGTCCATGGAATTTTACTGGTTTCAAAATGACAGTTTTAATACGATTATATATTCTTACTTCGATATTTACGTTAAGATGAGTTCTACCTTGAATGTCATTAGTTTCTGTTGCATAAGAATATTTCACAAAAGCTACTACTAGTAATACTTTACACCTTAATTATACACGTAAGAACTTTTTTCTTTTAGACAACATATTTTTAGTCCACAGTGGTGCCTTGCATGTGATATAAATGATTGCCATTTCTAATCCTATGGGCGACTCGATGATATAAAAGTGCATTTCATTATAAGTCACAAGATAGTCCTATTATGACGATCAAGTTTTGTCTCACCTATTCTTTTTTGTGATTGTGAAAGACATCGAGAATGTCATCTTTCCTTAACCAATTTATTGCTTGAAATAAGTAGAAAGGTAACACTTTTTGTGATGACAAAAAAGGAAAGAAAGAAACATTTTGTAAGACTGAGCTTTGTTTTATACGTCACGTATACTGCCCTATAATTTCTTTGTTTGATTTTCCCTTTCTTTCATATGGAGCTTCAAAGTTGAAACAAGCCAAATAGAGGGGCACAATTGAATTGCCTCGTAAATTTTAAGTATTTACTATGATCTCTCCTGTTTGCTTAAGTCGTACTTATAGTTTACACCATGTTTCTACGTATAAACATTTTCGCCCTCTCGATAAATACAAGACGTGTGAAAAAGGCGTACGCTTGGCAGAAAACAAACAGTTTGAGCAAACGCATGCGATGCCAGCCACCTCACGAATTATGCGTTCACTTGGGGCCTTTTGAAAGCTGAAAACTTTATTTGACATATTTCCTTTTTTTGAGAAAACCCTCCGAATGCATGAATGACATTTTCACCCCGCCAAGTAGCTATAATGTCAATGAACAGCTAGGGTGATGTACAAATGTGACACTTTTTTAGAAATGATTGTAATACTATTTCAACATCAGTCGTCTAGGGAGGAGCATTCAATGTTAAAAGGTGATGATCGTTCGTATTATGAACTATGTACAGCGTTAAGCTGTTTTAACACAAAGACATTCATAAGGTTAGGCCGAAATAATTGTTCCTAAAACGTCCTTATGTTTTCATAGCCCACAATTTTATCTAAATGATGATTTGGTTCCTTAATTTTAGGATGATTTTTAAAACCATTCCTGAATTTAATTGCTTCAAAATTTGTAAATGAGTTTTCCTAGAATTTCAAATACAATTTGATCTGAATGTCATCTATAATGCATTCTGATTATTAAAATGATATAAATTTTATGAATTCTGTATCATATTTAATGGCAACGTTCCTTTAGGGGAAGGAACAAATGAGGACACAAGCTTCCATGTATTCTCAAGGAAATTCTTTCGAAGCCAAATGATAGACATGGGAAAAATATACTTCTCCTTTATCCATCAAATACAAGAAATAGCACAACAAATATAAAAAGCAAATACATATTGTAGCTACATAATTTTTTGTCCCCCATTTGTTAGGAAAAAAAGCGCCATCTGTCCTTGAATACACAGACGATCGATTTGACTTTTGATCGATATTTTATGTGTATTGATCGGTGATCGCCAGTGAACAAGGTTCCCAAGTCGGAAAAAACAAACAAAAAATGACAAATATGATTATGGAGGGCATACATTGTACACATGGGGACTGAAGTGGTAGTGACAATTTAAGAGGGACCCTACAGCATAAATGGCTATTTCCCAGCGCTGTTCAATTATCTCTGATTGCAATGTGAATTATTTGAGATATTTATTGAAAGCATTACGTCCTTTGCAGTAATTAGACCCACCTGTTCCTTTTTATGTGTGTAACAGAATACTACTGGATAAAATGGACAGTCTAGAAAGGGACAGAAGTTATATTAATAGATTGAAGTTCTGTCCATATCTTAATCACTATGTTAATACAAATTACGATTATTTTCATGAATATGAAAACGAGAGGTTCTGTCATGTTCAGCAAGAGTTCTGACTCAATGTGGTATCTTTTTCTATCCTTACATTTTGTCTTCAAGATTATAAACATTGACTCAATAATTTTTCTCTCATATTCATCCATCTGTATTTCCAAATTGTGTTTATTTCTCTATTTATTTCCCAATTTGTCCTAGATATTTACTTTTATATCTTATTGAACAAATTGATCCTTCCAAATTCCATTTTTTTGTCTGCGAGGTCTCTTTGTATCACTCTCATCATCTTTTTCTATCTCTTTTCATCTCGTTATACTTCATCTGATTACTCTATCACTCTATCTCTCTATCTATCTCTCTATCTCTCTATCTATCTCTCTATCTTTCTATCTTTTATTCTCTCAATCTCTTTCTTTCTAGCTCCCTTCTTTTCAACTCTGCCTCGTTGCTCTCTCTCTCATGTTCTGTCCTCGTCTACTCTATATAATTCTCATACATGCATTCTAAATTCTGTACCATTTCGTAAATGAATTTCTGAATAACATTACACGAAATGAGAAGGTGGAGCATTCCATGATCCAGAGCTACATAGAATGACAAAATCCAATTTTTATTGATAGTGATGTAAATTATGCATTAAAAATATCCACTTAAAAAACGGTAATCACTTAGCTACGGTTGATGAAAAGAAAATGATGTCAATCAAGAAATGACATTACACGTCGGCCTTTTACACAAAATGTTTCCAATTCATTGACGAGTTATTGTAAAGGTCACTTCATTTTCGATTAGAGAGAGGTATAATTTTGTCATAACATAATACAACATATTGCCCGACAAAGAAATGTGTTTGAGGCGAGGCAGAGTGATCCACGAAGTGTTGTCCGAAATGATATTCCACATGATATAATTAACCTCCGTATACAACAGTGAAAATGAGAAGGACTGAATTATATAATTTTCTCTTGTTTGTAAATATTTCACAACAAGAAACATACCATAGGTACTGTGTACATATTCTGAAACAACAAATACTAAAGGAGAACTTCAGCTTTGGGCTACGTTTCACAGTGAAAATAGACAGAAATTAAGAGTGATTAATTATTGCAGTGGAGTGCTATACATTTTGTTGCAAACACTGGCGCTTTAATAAGCGCGAGTGAATTTCTGAACTTTTTGTTGTTAATAGATGTAGATTATGTTAATTAAGTTTATGGCGTGTATATAAGCTTTGCAATGGTTTTAACCATACTTACATGAAGAAAAAAGATGACAAGAATGAATATTAAAGATTGGATGGGAAATATCAAGGATTACAGTTAAAATTGCTCGACCATAATAGCTTTAATGGGAGAGAAGGGGAAAGATGGGGGCGGAGAGAGAGAGAGAGAGAGAGAGAGACAGACAGAGAGAAGGAGAAGAGGGTAGTATGAGAGAGATGGATTGTAGGAAAGACATAGAAGAACTTCACTTTGTCTCTATACAATGCTTCCTCGATTTTGGAGTATCAATCGTCTCTATATTGAGATTGTATTTTGGTAGGGAAATAAATAGAGAGAGATGGGAAGAGAAAAACATAATGGTTTGATGTAGCTATAGTAAAGGAGAGAGATAGATAAAGAGAGAAATGGAAAGAATAAAAAATAGGCAGAAAGACGCGAACAAACCAGTGAGATAGAGAGAGAAGGGTAGGGGAGGCAGAGAACGGGATAGATGAATAGTGGAGTAGAGAGGGGAATATATAGAAAGGGCAACGAAACAAGAATTGAAAGCAGCGCAATGCATGGGCCGCTGCTTGGTGTTACGCCTTGCCGCCTCCATGCACCTGCAACCCGCCTCAAGCTCCGGGGAAGGCGATGGACGGAGCAGGTGTTTCTTACAAGCGCTGCTGCTGTGTGCGGCACACATTCAATGGACCCAATACAAAACTCGAATGCATGGAGAGGGGGAAAAATAGAAAACCGGGGACTGACTGAAACTAGCATCAAAACACAACTAAAATCATACATACATGTAGGATTGCACTTTGTATGGATGTAATGCACGATTCTACAGAGTACGTCTACATATAGACTGGTCATATAAAACAAAATAGAGACAATGTCTGACAAAATGTGCGACGAATGGTTTTTATTTTCTGAATTTTTCAAATATATGAATAGGGCCATGATAATCGAATCAATATTTGATAATTTTGGGAGACGTCATTGATAGAGTTACCAATCTATCAATTTAGAGTCTGCAACTCATCGAAAACGCTTGCTTGTAATGTAAGTAAAGAGCATTTTAAACCATAACCCTATATAACACATACCATACCAAAGAACCGGAAATCACATTTCGTTAAAATATTCATGTAAAACCATATTCTAGCCCCTTTTCTATATATAAGCCTATACACTAGTGCGCATACACCATCAAAAACAGCTTTCTTCTAATACTCATCCTATTCGTCTTTGCATTGAAAGCCACCAATTAATTATCTAGAAGTAGATTATTTTAATTACTCCTTTTGTGTGTAAAGATCTAGACAAAATCAAAATGTCTTTTCATAATTGCGATTAAATTAGTTTTCTGGCTGACTTAATTCAGCTTCAACAGCCGCGGGTTTGTACCATGACACCTTCATTATTTTCTGAATATTGCCTTTTCTTTATTTTTCCAGGTGCTATAATATTCGCTGCTTCCTTGACCTGGTGAGGAATACACAGAAGCCACGATGAAAGTTGAAGAAACTGCACTGAGTCCCACCAGCGAAAATGGGTCTGCAGCAGGTAAGAACAAGAACATTTCACACGTTTAACACCGAACGGTGCTGAGATTAACACCGAAACAATTATTGTTTGTCGTAATAGCTAAAGGAAAGGGGCAAGGGCTAATCACCTAAGTTATTCATTATGTTGTTATTCCATTAATTCGATTTTAACACGATACCATACACTTAATTAAGGGTAATTGGATGTACACCAAAACCAATACTGTTTCTATGGTAGCTAAGCATATTTGAGTGTTAATGCATATAAACCCATGCATTGGTCATGTAAATGCTTAATGGTAATACAAACCCGTGTACTTTTCGGTATTCGGTGTCAATACATTCTAAATCCATGGATCTTCCTTTAAATGCATTCCCAAAACCCATCATGATTTTACATCACTACAGACACACAGCCTCAGGTGTCACTTCAACACCTGTGTATACACCTTAAGGGTGTTAGGATGCCCCATGGTGTTCTGTGATTTCATGAGCTAATCGATTTATAAATAGTTTGCCCTTTTAGTCACCTATTGTAGCTTTAAAGGTCGGCTGGTTTTAAGAAAAGGTCGGTTGGTGTTAAGAAAAGGTCATTCATTTTCTCTGAACTAGATCTCACCAACCTCACACAATTGACATCGAGAACCACATTTTGGTTACGCTCCAAAAATTGTTGAAATTACATTAGAATGATACCAGCCTCTTTGTACATACATATTCAGAATAATACAGTTTAATATGAGATACCTCCATATGAAAACGTGATTCTAACATTTCTAACTTTAAAAGGAACATTATAACGATAAAATGTCTTCGCGAGAGTGTATTGAGATAATTAATGGATAGTGATGTTTTGTTAACGCTTTCAGTGACGAAGTGGATGTACACGTATCTCATAATAAATGAAAAAATCTTCAGAATATTGATTTTGTTCATATTTCGTAAGACAGATTCTCAAATTACAAGGACGCAAAGTCTTTCGAGAAATTTACACAAGGGAAACTTCAATACCATATTGCATGTTCCATAGTAATTATGTTCGGTGTAGGTAAATACGTCATTGTAAATTTCGCCCTTTTCAATGATGGGCACAGCTATGACAATTGACTTGCTTTTTCGAAACTTTATTTTTCGAAAGTCTTTGCGATCATGATAATAGTTTCTAATTCATTTCTATCATCAGATATCGAGAGAGAGAGAGAGAGAGAGAGAGAGAGGGAGAGAGAGATAGAGAGAGGGAGAGGAGATGGTAGTATAGAGGGATGGGAGGGATAATTAACTTTTACATTTCCACAATCATCGTCACCATTTAAATCTTGTCAGCACTCACGATTTATTTTCATCTTCGTCAATCAATGAAACCCCTTCTCCCATCCCCCATTAGACCCCTTCCATCTCAGTGTCTTCTCTGTGGATAGGTGGCATTTCTTCTTCTTTCTTGTGCTTACATCCCCTAAAAACATCCTCAACCCAGATGGTTCTGGTCTCAAAAGTTTATGATCAAAGATTGCTGCCCCGTTAATGAGAATTAAATAAAGATTGGAACGGGTGCGGAGTGTCCGTCCTAATTTGCCTGATGCGCTTAGGATGAGGTCTTGAACTCCTGAGCGCGGGGATGGGTGCGCACTGGTGCGTGGAGCATTCACGGCTCATCGGAGTGTGACGGTTAGAGAGCGAGAGATGGAGAAAGAGAGAAAGAGAGAAAGATAGAGAGAGAGAGAGAGAGAGAGAGAGAGAGAGAGAGAGAGAGAGAGAGAGAGAGAGGGGGGGGGGGGGGGGTGGGGGTGAGAGGAGGAGCAAACTGAATGTAAAGACACGAAGTAAATGAGTCCGTTAAAAGGACCAAATCCACAATGAATATGTATACCTTCTATGATGTGTACCTTCATACATAATATTATGGAGAGAGAGAGAGAGAGAGAGAGAGAGAGAGAGAGGGAGGGAGAAGGGGGTAAAGAGATGGCAAATGGGACTGCTGACAAAAGAGAGGCAGAGAGGCAGAGAGAGTCAAGTGATAGGAGAGAGAGAAAGAGATAAAAGAGATGGAACATTAAGGAGCTTGAGGGGGAGAGAGAGACAAGTGATAGGAATTGAGAGAGAGAGAGAGAGAGAGGGGGAGGGAGACAGACAGAGAGAGACAGAGACGGAGACGAAGGGATAGTAGAGAGAGAGAGAGAGAGAGAGAGAGAGAGGGAGAATAGATGTCAAAAGATGATAGTCCCAGTCATGATATTTTTCTATCCACGTACCAGCACCACGAGCCACCAGACGGCTGCGAATCCAATGAATATCAATTTACACGAGTGGCTATTCATTCAATTACTCGTAATTCATAAGTGGCCTGTGAAAGATGGCTTTATTACCAAAACATATCCTCAAAAATCCATTGTACATACGCACAGCCGGTACGATGAGCCTCAAAATGTATATTAATTTGTAGATAATGATTCATCTTTCGCATTGAAATGCTGCTATACTGAAATGTGAGCTTAGGTGATACAAACACGAGTTCCTGGTGGACCATACGTCGAAAGGTGAACGTCAGTTTAGACGTTGCCTACCTGACAATAGGCATCATGTACATCTACATGTATAAACAGTATAATACTCACATTTTCTAAAAGTATTTGCATCATTGTAATCTTCTACTTCTACAATTATCAAATCCTCTTACTCATTTTTTTGTTGTTGTTGATAATCTAAAATATACACTTTATGCGACACCCAGTTCATTACTCTTTCATTCATTAAGTAATGTAGATACTTTCATCACGATGTTAATTGATATCTATTATCTTTGCAATTATCAAATCGTTCCCGAAAATTGATATTACTGACCTGAAAAATGTAATACACAGTCATGTATGAAGACAAAATTGATAGTTGGAAACTATTTTGTTCTTCTTTTCTTTGTCTTTTAGATTTATTCATGTCTTTTCACTTCTATTCCACAACGTCATGTCCAGTATATAGTTTTAATTCATCACCTTCAAAATTGACCTGGTCTTAGAAAACGCCATATGATATCACCGAAAATTATTTTTGATCGGTCATCTTGGAGTTCGATCGAAGTCACCAGGCCAGCTAGGGTTTGCTTTCTTTGTTCAGCCACATGCTACTTTCACATCGGGCAGCACACGATTCACAAGAACCTATCATCCTCTTAAGGAATAGAAACAACATGGCTCCGCATATACTTGATGTTAGGGATTTTAAAGAGAAGGTTGAGTTTTGGTAAAGGTGGAAATAATTTGCGGCCTTTCTCATTCCTTTTAAGTAATGTTGGAAGGAAATTGCAGAAAAAATACCCCTGGAAAAAACACGATTGCTCTTCGAATGCCATTATATTCGAAATGTGACGAATTAAAATCTTGCACAATTTATCGTTGACGAAAAATTAATGTTATATAAATGTAAATGTTTATATTGTATTCCAGCATTCGAATTCTCATGTACAGTGCATGTTACTTTCAGGAAGATAATGAGTCAAATTTTTCATTCGACTAATTAGATGATTCCAAAACATCACCGTATATACATCAATTTAGTACCAAACAATACTCAACCTTTTCCAGTTGCTTCCAGACAATTTCTTTCAAACTGCAATCGCATGGCTAGGACCCAACTTAATCTTTAAGGACCATTTTGAAGAATGAGAATAAAAAACACTCATCTTGCAGCTGACTGTGCCGCCGAACCGCTTACTGTTTCTATTCTGCGTGCACGCATCTTGTATTTTCGGACGCGTTACATCTTCGGACGGAGGAGCGTCGAACAACGACCCGCATCTCGACGTCCTTGGTTCTCTAATCGTATTTCTTAGTTTCCGAGATCGATGTGGAGTACACGCTTCTTCTTCGATTGATGAACATCGATCAGGCGATGACGGAATCATGGGTGACATCTTTTTGTTCAGTTCTGCTGTTTTCCGACTGCTTCCCTTCAAGTTTAACTATCCATCAGAGATTAAGAGTGCATGAAATTTTGTGTGCTGTACATAGAATTATTTTCAGTTGAATTGATGCATTTTAGGGGTATCTATTTGTGTTTAATACATCCTTTACCTCAAGATTGCTCTTCATATTAATTATCCTCTAAATGAGCAGCAATGTTGAATATAACAAAGACTTATACATTCAAACGATGTAATATTAAAGTCCACTGTTTGTTTACTATTCGAACTAATCATCTCGACAAAGCGGCTAATTATCCAAATTATCTGAATTACCAAAAACAAAAATGACCATTCCAAATTTAGTTGTAATCCCTTGCATATTAGATGAAATGACAAATAATTATGCTTAAAACACTGAAATATTCAAGTTACATCCATGGAAATGACCGCACTATAGGCCCAATGTTGATTATTAATAGTTCAACATGACCCAAAAGGGTGTAGTAAATGTTCATAATATGCACATACCTATTTAGATCCCTCCCCCATCTTTAGCTTAAGCTGATGCAGACATGTCGGCTTAACGTTTATTAGTGGCAGCGGTGGGATTTAATTAAAGTTCAAACGCACTACATTATACACGCACCCACTAGTACCATGTACACTATTACCATACAACCTGAATGGGAGAGCTCGATAAATAGACGTTTGCGACGGTACGTACGGTGCGAGGGCAAGAAACGATCGTCCTAATTTATGAGCGATGAAGTAGAGGAGCGGGGAAGATAATTCTTTCCTCGGATTTCAGCTCTTGTCCAATTTAATTCCATTCGATTGCAATGATGGTCGAATTTAGAGCAAGGCAACCGTATTTCTTACATGAAGATGAATGTTCTGAATGCCGAAGACCGATGTAAATTGCCCTGGCACGCAGGCGGGCGAGAGAGTGAGCTATCCTCCTGCTCTCGACTCGTTGATCCGCATTCATTGTGACTCGGTGTATCATAGCAATAAATTTAAGGACTGATCTCGCTTCTCAGTCTGTTCATGAATCATAACGCCAACCAGAATTTCATTTCTCCCCCAAAATGGCAAATTTATGGATAAAAATGTGACGTTGGTTGTAAATATTCTTCGTTTTACTACGATGCAAAAGCAGGAAGATAAAATGTTTAGGAAGATAAAAAGGGAAAGAAGCAATTAAACGTAACGTTTATTTTCTATAATATTGGATAGACAGGGAATTACAAATGTAGTGTTTTCCAGGTCATAAATATCCAGTTTATAATAATCTAAACGTCATTAAGAACACAACTTTCACATCTGATGGTCGTTTAAAAAAAGCAAGTTAACAATGATGAAATACAATTTATAAATGTTGGGGTGAGTGAATGCGTGAGAAAAGTAAAGTGATATAAGAAATTAGAAGATATGTAAAAAAAAAAAAATGCTAAAGACGGTATTTAATTAATGAAGGTTGCATACGTAGCATAGTCATTAGATTAATTCACAAGCCATAAAATATTATAGCAAGCACAGTAACTGCAAAAGCAAAAAACATAATAACCCCCAAATATTTGTTCTCCTTTTTGTACTCCCTTGTTCATCAACAAGTAATTCTGCTCGAGGCATATCAAGAAGAGAAAATAGGAGAGGAGAGAAGGGACAGTTGCAGAGGTACGGAGAAGGAGAAATAGAATAAGAGAGAGAGAGAGAGAGAGAGAGGGGGAAAAAGCTAGTATAAGAGACATTGAATGCCGACTCCGCTGTCTGTTACTAGTACCGCAAACCCAAATACAACCACTTCTCAATTAAAGGTGACAATTTTATTTTCTCGTCGACTATGGGGGCTCCTTAAACTCAAGAAAAAAAGAAGCAAAATCTTGTTACCATTGCAAGCCATCTAAGACCCTCGGGAAAACACCAGCACCAACTCGCGACATCCGAAAATATTGTTCTTGTCGATCGTAGCTTGCGGCCTATATGACGTTCACACTGTCGTATTCATATTACTTTAATGAAGTGGGGGCCATTTCCTAGCATGCACGTGCGTCTTGCAGTGCCGTCGTTACTGCGTTGTGGGGACGTGCCCGCAAATTCTGATGTACTGCTAGTGTGCAGATATTCATAAATCGTACCTCTATAAGAGAACATATGAAGAGAACAGTCAATAAGATATACTTTCTTCTTTCTTCACTTGTTTTTCTCTTCGTCACCACCATATTTTTCCAAAATTGCATTTCGGCTATTATTTTATCAAGTAGCCACACATTTATGAGTTCAGAGACGCGAGGATGTTTTTATAGCGTCCATAATGGGGTTCTCCTAATCGCATTTCGGTTCCCCCATATTGTAAAAACTATGTCAATAGTTGGTAATAGTATTGAATGATTTATGAAGAATATAGACATCGGAATGAAAAGAAAATTTAATCAAGAACTGCATGGACGGAGAGGTTCAAATATTTATTTTATTGCAGGAAAAGAAAATGCCGAAGAGTATCGCTAAAGGCGGGAAAATATCTTTGCTATTTTGAAGGAGCCACGAATATATATTTAAGTGCCAAGTTGCCAAACCTGTGCATATATCATTTTCTTACACTTACATATATTTCATTTGAGGCAATCTGCCAGATAATTCTTTTTGTATCATTTTTTTTTGTATCAAAATCAAGACACACACATAAGCTCACCAAAAAAACAACAACATACATTTGAAAACAGTATTACTTTGGTACTTTGCTGTTTACTGCATGGCATATAAATAATTATATCTCATTCCTTCATTCAGACACGGCAATGGTTTCGCTAGAAGCATGGTGCGGGTCATATTTCCATCAAATCGCAGTGATATTGCATGGCGAAGATGAACGTCTGCGAGGGAGGGTCAGATCGCTCTCAGAGACGTGTCAATTCTCTCAGTGAAATTAACATAACAATTTTCTTATCAGGTTGACAATTCCCTTTCCTCATTGGTTACTTAATAATATCAATTGTAATAATTCTATGTTGCAATGAAATGAAAGTACTGCAGAATGCAATCACTATGCAGAAATAAATGAAAACTTTAACTCTTTCTTTTCGCTGCTCCCCAGCAGGTCTCGCTACCAACGGAACCAGACCATCCAAGGAAATGTGCGCGGGGTGTCAGCGCGCCATCGATGACCGGTATCTCATGAAAGTAATGGATCACTGCTGGCACGAGCAATGTCTTCAATGCAGCGTCTGTAGAATAAGACTATCACACTCCTGCTTTGCCAGAGATCGCAAGTTATACTGCAAACTAGACTACGAAAAGTAAGTCCCGGTTTTTTGTTGTTGTATTTCTCGTATCATATTATTGTTCCCATTTGTTGTGACGTAATTTATTATGACGTAATTTATTGTGACATCGCAATGAAAACGTAATGGCCCGAATTCACAAAGGAGGTTTGTCGACAAACCTTGGTTTTCGTACGTCATGTGACTCGTTTTACGCGTTTTTTACAAACCTGGTTTGTAAAGAACAAAAGGAGGTTTGGCGAAACAAAAGGAGGTTTGAGCTCAAACCTTGCTTTGTGAATTCGGGCCAATGGCTCTCATATATAGCTCCACATGTATTAAATCTTTCAGGACCTGGCTTTACAGTCTCATTATGACAGATAACCGTAAAGATAATTAGAGTTATAAACCGTTTGCAAAATCGTTATTCTGAAGTTCAAGTGTACAAGGCATTGGATATCCGTCTTACCTATCCTATCTTACCGATTTATTATGATGAGCTACAGAACCGATTTCTCGGGATCGATGGCATCGCAGCACCCACATCTAATACTTTTTTTTCTACATGCATTTTACGAGACCAATGGGGGGACGATTCAAAGCTTTAATTTCAATCATCTGTCAAATATGACAAGTCCTTTATTCACATTTCGACCTTTGTATGCCCGTTGCACAATCTAAATGCAAGATTATAAAATGACATCGACACATATCAGTCATGCAGCATCCGTTCCTAAATCTTTATTTAGCCCCATCGTATGCTAATCCGACTCATCTCTTAATTCATCCCTAAATCATGCAAATCCAGAATCCGACTTTGAGCCGACCCGAAAGATTCTAATAATTCACGGGGCGTGCATTATACGCAGCCCTCCGACCACGCTCCGGTTTAATTCCAGGGGATTTTAAGTGCTTCGCATCAAGCTTTTGTTAAGGGTGGAAGTATTAAGGATGGATTGTTTAATGCTTTGGTTTATTCATGAGGCTGCATGTAATCCTTTCTTAATAATTAATTCCCTGTGGGAAATATTTGCATCCTAAAATACCGTAAAAACAATCTCTAAAAGGTTTCTAGACTTTATGTGGAAAAATACGTGCCTAATATATTCAAACTGCTTCGCGACCTGATTTAACGAAAAACAGGTTCTTAGGTGGCTTTCATTTTTATTCTTTGGGTTTTATACTCGTTGGCAATTAGGTCAAGTTTTATAGGAAATTTAAAATGAATAAAATAAGGAGGAGGGTTAGAAAAGAAGGTCTATGTTTATGTTTCACATAAAAAGTGGGTGGTAACTAAAAATGAACAAATAAATAGAGTGTAGCGTACTTACAGAATAAGAGGGACAGAGAGAGAGAGAGAGAGAGAGAGAGAGAGAGAGAGAGAGAGAGTATAAATGACAAACGGAGAATGAGAAAGGAGAACGAAAGAAATGAAAACATTATTGTAGTGTTTGCTTGTTTTGTGCTTTAATGTACTGACAATTAAATTGCAGAATAAATATGTGTATATGATATATATTATATTCATATTTAGGCCTAATTTATATAAAATCTAAAGGCCAAGAGTGCAGACGGCTTTTGAATATGAAGTGTGAGAACCAAACCTGGGATATCCCTTAGAGACCGAAGAGGCACAGTGGAGGTGGTATAGGGCAGGGACGGTGGCGAGGTTGGAAAAAAGGATGGAAAATGGTGCGGTTTATCGGATGGGAAGGGGGGCAGAGGCGGTATAATTCACACTTGGTGGCGATTTTCAAGCAGCGCCCGGCGGTCCGGCTGAAACAACCTAGGATCTCTGCTTCTCACCCCTGCTCTTGGGGGTCGCACCTATGTACGATCTCAGGTATCGTGTCAGTATAGATGAGAACATCCCCACTGCCTTTTGGATGGGGCGTTTTGCGTTTCCCACTGTGCATCCGTCGTTCACAACGAGAGGAATTAAGAAACTCTTGTACAGAATGTATTTTGGATGCTTATAGCCCTAATTCCAGGTTTGTGCTATAAAGAGTACAAGCATTAACATTGTTAGAAAGGGAAGTATTGAAATGACCATACTGATTGAAAATGTCTATGGTTACTTATGTATTAAACCGGATCACGTGACTATCATGAGGTTTGAACATCATAGAAATTGTAACATATTGAATAAATCTTGCTAAAAATTAATTTTAAAATGTCTGGTACAGATGTGGATACACAGGACTACACGCAATCTTGTGCCATCACAATTGGATTCAAAGTTGTAAACTATTTATCGTCCTATTTGAAATATAGTAGCATTTCAGCAGCAAATATTTTCCACCGGACGTTGCTATGATTCTTTCACAAAAACATGAGACAAAAATGAGAAAGCTCATGAAGTAACTTTTTACTTTTACCTAAAATAGACGTTTAAAAAAAATAAGGCAGTGCGAATGTTCTACAACGGGGTTCCCTGCAGAACATGGCGTATTTGTGCTGGATTCATAGCCCACTAGGGTTTAAGAGAAGTGAAGGCCTGGGCAAAGAGTGTATATTAGCATGCAAAACACAAAGAATGCACAAGCCTTGGGTCCGTGCACACATGCAGTAAAGGGCGACTAGGCCGGGGCACACAATATTAAGCATAGGTGAACAACAATTGAGATGCGAGAAAAGGGTGACTCCTTCGTCGGCGAGTTATTGCACTTTTCCTCATTGATCTGAGTTTGCTTATGGAATGCCTCCAGGTATCCTCATAGATTAAATTTAATTGTAATTTTCTGGTAATGAAGACTGCATTGTTGCAGAATCTAAAGCTGTTCTTAATTGCTAGTCGTGTGGTTGATGTTTATTTACCAAAGAGGAAAGAAAAGAGAAATGTCAACATTTGTTGAAAATTGAATAGATGCACACAAAAAGAAAAAAAAGAAAGAAGCAAAAATATTCACCAAAAAACAAACAAACACGTGAGGGCTATGTGGATATGCATGCAAAAAATGTAAGGGTCAACGTGGATAGGGCAGTCCTTGGAATTTTAGAGCCGGCATTATAAATGTTAAGAGAGGACTACTGTAATATAAGATACACGCACACTGTTCAACAGGAATGCATTGTTTTCGTAGTGCACCTTACGCTTGTCATACCAATTCAGCAGTGCTATCTACGTTAGATTGTAACCTATTGCCAATGCACAGCCATACACATTACTAATTTTTCTGCATCTGTTTTGATTTGATAATCTATTAGAACTTACAATAATTTCCACAGCGTTATCTTATAGCTATCCACAGATGAAAATAAAAACCTCTATTGTACTGACGCTATTATTGTTCACATGAAATATATAATGTGTATTTGTTGTTGGGTTTCGGGATTAGATAAACAGTCGATTTTTAAAAATACAAAATAAGATGTTTTTCTCCTCCGCGGATTCGATTCTATTTTACGGCGTATGTGCACTTGTATACTTTTTCAAGAACCGACCGCAACTACTTGAAGGCGAGGTGAGTGGCCGCTTAGTAAACCTGCAGCTATCAGACGACCCACTGACTCCTAAAATCCAATGATGAACGTTTTCTCTATGATGGCTGCAAAACGGAGAGAAATTGAGAATGAGTGTGTGAAACAGACTCAGAGAGAGAGAAAAATAGAGAAAGGGAGAGGAAAAGAGAAAGAGAGAGAGAGAGAGGATAGAGAAAGAGAGACACAGAGAATAGAGAGCGAGAGAGAGAGAGAGAGAGAGAGAGAGAGACGATAGCAAGTCCTTCATGTGACGGGGCTAATTTAGCGCACGGAATCCCTCGCTGCAGAATTATTGGCGATCTGATTTCGCTGGTATATTATTCGGTAGATCTGATTAAATCGAGTTAAACCCCAATTGGCGACAGGGATGCGAAATAATGCGATAAATGATTCGTGCGTACAAGTTTGTGTGCGTGTGGGCTTGCGTGCGTGTGGGTGTATTTGTGTTTTATCGGTGGGCAATAGGGAAAATTAGATGACTCGAGTTGGTAGCATGGTGGTTTTGTGTAGATTAATAGTACGGAGAGCTGTGCGGGGAGGTTTAATTACTGGTCCTGTCTGGTATGCGGTGGAAATGATGCAATCTATCATTCAAAAGGAGGGAAAGAACATGTAATTGGAAAGGGCCTAGGATTTGACGTAACGTTAGGAGATCCGCAAGGTCTGTCGAGTTTGCTATACTAATTATTGGTATTATTCTACCGAATACCAAAATTAGATATTCAGATATAATGGTAACTCCATGAGGTAGCTTCCAATTAGATTGTTTTGGCAAATATTCCTACAACATTAAATAATTCAGCCATTCAAGAAATTACCGTATACAGTATCGTGACTGTTCATTTACCATGTTCGTGACAAAAGCATTAAGTAAAGACTCTTATATGTTGTGCTTGCCATGAATTCAGTTTCTCTAGGAACAATTATTTCTTGAAGATTTAAAGGGATGCTAGATTTATTTTCAATCACAACAACCGATATACATACGACCGATCGAAGACATGATGCATGGAGTTGTCATCACAGGTGCAGGCCTGAAGTTCCTGCCCCCACCTTAAAAGCAGTAGGTGGGACCACGTGCAAAGCTCGGGCTATCTATTTGCTCGGTTACACGTGCGCTTTTGCACGCGCTGGCCCTCAGAAACGCATGCATGTCGTGTGTGGGGGACATTATCCGGTTGAAGAGAGTTATTGTCTGTCGTGATATTGCTTGAATGTTTTCGTTCAGAACTAAATCGAAATCGACAGTGAATCATGAAACAGCACTCGTGGACTGTTTGTACTTATCAGATCAATGGTTTAAAGGGATTTTTATATTCTTTTAAGCTTAATATGAAGATAATCAATTGATTGAAAACGGATAGCAATTTTTGTTTGCTTGAGTAATAATGAGAAAAGCTGCCTTTGAAATAACTTTTATGAAATACCCCTAAAAAATGTTTGATTTCATGTTTGGCCTACATTGCCAAAAGTTCTTAATCACATTTACTTTAATTATAGGCCTATAATGAAATGTCAGTGGAAACAACATTGCTGTAATGATAATGCTTATATCATTATCATAAGAGCCATTATGATACTTCCAAACGACCGGCTGTATAAAACAGCCGCATAATCTCAAGGAGCAAAATATCGATCCATTTCCGCACGCATTACACGTCGTCGGAGTTTATATCGTCTGCGATTGTGTGGCATTGCCGGCCCTGTT